AAGTTATATTATTGTCCAAAAGTCGAAAATGTATCTAGATTTCTAGTATTCATCTGAATAGACAATGAAATCACAAATCAAGATAAATATGTCAATCGTATTAAATTTAAATTATTGAAGAAGAGTGACCACAAGATGCGGACTTTGGCCTATGTGCAATTGCAACACTATGATACTACGTTTACAATTTTGCAGAAAACAAAAAAATTATATATTTACTATCAATTGCCCATTTTATTCTTTTTCACTTTCCTCACCAACCTTTGAACTTATTTTTCACTTTCCTCTACCACACACCAGTTGTTAACTACCTAATTTGCCCTTGGTTGCAAGAAAGATGGTCCACCACCATGAACGACCATATTCGAGATCAACGGAGGTGGGCCTTCGCCCTCAACATTCGGCCCGTACGAAATAAACGGCTGATGATCGTAATACTCCACGAAACCCGCATTATTCTTCACCAACGTTCCCTCGTTAGACGCCTTGTTATTAGTCGAGCCTCTCAATTTCCCAAAACGCCCCTCCTTCGCGCACTGTCTGGGCTGCGTTTGGTAGAAGACTTTCGAGACCACTAATTCGCCGTCTTTCTCATCCTCGTTGTCGCCCAAGTGGTATTGGTGCATGACCCAATTGGTCTTTTCGGGTTTTTTTTGTCGACCGTAGTTTGTGTAGAGGACTAGGATTTTTTTGTATCCGTTGATGGTACCGGATAAAGCTGAGATGGGTCGGGTTTTGCCCGTTTTGTGCCACCGGGTCTCGCCTTCATCATCATCGTCTGTGTGGACCTTGCGGCGTTTGCGCGTGCCGGTCGTGTAGGCCTTGGAAGGCCGGTGGAAAAAATGACGAATTTGCCCTTCTTTGCTTACACCTATATGTAATAATGATGAAGTTCAATCCATAAAAAGGAGAACAGTAATGAGAAGAAAAAAAAAATGATATGTATAAATGTGGTTTTACTATGAAGCCAACAGTTGACTCCATAAAAGGTATGGTTTAGTTGTTATATATTATAGTATTTATTTAAATAATATGGTATGATTTACTTGTTGTATATAGAAGGTTGACTCCACTATAGAGCCAACTGTTGGCTTCATAGCAAAACCGTGTATATATGTATTATCAATTGTCATGCATGTTTCATACAAAACTTTTCTTTATAGTAAAACTTGAAGGTGAGGATAAGAATAATAAGATATTTTACTAAAAACGGGAAGGCAACGGTTTAATCATAGGCAAACTTTTTTTATTTTTTCTTTTGTATCCACTTAATTGTTGTAGTTTAGAAAAATGATACACTAATTTGACATTCATCAAACTTAGCATAAATTAACTTATTAAAATCATAAAAAAAATGTCCATTAATTGACTAGTTAGCTTACCAATTTGATGATATTTTTTGATACAGGAACTTGTTAAATGAACATTTCTTTTTATACATTTCGGCTAGTCAGTGTATAAAGTTTGATGAATATTAAACTAGTTTCTTATTTTTTGGAAATAGGTCAACTTATTAGACAAAAATAAAATTAAACAGAAGATTATATGAACCAGACTACATAAAATCCTCGTTAGGTGTAAAGATAATTTAAGCAACAGTGATTTACATATAACTATTTTTTAATTACGAAACAACAATGAAAATAGGGACCAATTGACTTATAGAAAATGGGCAAAAAAATAAATAAACTAGTTATGTAATATTTGCTTGATCTTGACACGTCCCCTAGCTATATCAAAACACTAGTATATGTAATTTTAGTTGCTCTGCTACTATACTTAGAATAATAAAAGAAATTAAAGGACATTATTATCATGATCACATGGGAATTAAAACAGCATAACCGAAAAAAAAAAAAAAAGAATAAAAAATTAAACAAAATTCAATTTCGTACGTATGAAAGGCAAGAAAAGTCCCCACGCAATTTAATTCCCTTGTAAAACTTGCTGAGCAAACAAGGAAACTCTAGTCAAATGAAAAAGCTCCTAGTTGCCATATGTAAGAGGCGTAAAGACAATTCCAATTTGGACACGATTATGAGTATATATTGATGATTCATTTAAAGCAAGAAAATTAGAGATTAATAAATTTTAACAATGTTGTTCAGCTTTCAATTGAAATTTATCCACAATCCAATATATGCTATAATGGTTCAACACAATCCAAAATTCCAAAAAAGAAAAAATTGAAATAATAATAACAACAAGAAGAAAGAACAAGAAGAATAACAATAACAACATACCTGGTAACTTCTCAGGATGAGTGTAACAAATACCATTTTCACCCTCAATAGTTGGGATAAATTCATCAATAAGAGGATGAAGTTTCCTTTTATCAGAAAGCACTTTTGCCTCTAAATGCTGAAGAATTTCTTGATCAGATGGATCGAACTTCACCCCGGCCGGTAAGCCCGGTAAATTTTGAAGCCCGGCCTGATTATTTAAATAAAAAAAATATAATGACCTTAAGCTAAATCTCATTTAAATATTAACTATTAACAAAGTAAAATTGAAAAAAAAAAAAAAGATGTTTTAACACAACATTAGTTAAAACAGTAAGCAAACCTGATCTTGGAGTTTTATTGCGTGGCCGCATGAAGGGCAGACTATAGTCCGATTTTTGTAACCTTTCGAATTTGCAACAATATTATTATTATTTTCCTTATTGGCAGCTGAAATAATCTTGAGGGTAGTTGTTGTTTCTTTATCACTATCAGGCCATGTCATTTTTCTAATGTGCCCAATTTTCAGGATTCAATGACCTGAACATAAAACAACAAAGATATAGAGAAAAATAAAATAGGGAATAAAAACAAGATAGATAAAGTGAGAGATAAAAAGTTAAATAAATTGCTCTTTAAAAGACACTTTCTTTTTTCTCAAGCTAACCTAAATCTTTGTTTGCTCTCTTCTTTGTTCTTTGATGTTTGTGGAAGGAACTCAAAATCTGCACCCTTTTTTGGTACCTTCTTTAGCTCCTTTTTGTTGTATGTGCAGTTAAAATCCTTTAGAAATTAAATTAGGGACCGAAATAAAAAGAGAGGAGGGGATCGGGCTTTTCTTGCTTATATATATTCTGTGAGGGAGAATTTATTTGGTGTGGAGAAGGAAAACGATTAAATTAGGTTGCTTGGACGTCAAGTTTTGTGTTTGTATTCATGTGGATATTATTGTATATTACACCGAATATGTCAAGTCATGTCTTTGTGTAATAGTCCTCCCTGCTTTCTATTAACTAGTACAGTACCCATGCGATGCACAAGAGTATTGACTATCTACTTGCTTTTTAAAAGGTATTTTTGTATTTACATTGTGAAATATCATGAAAATAAAATTAATATTATTCCTTATGTACAACATTCTTGGTTTTATTATTTACCACGTAAAATACTACATGTGTGTTTGAATTTTATCTATAATTGCGTATTATTAGTTATTAGTTAACAAATTACGTTTTTTTTTTT